TTTTTTATATAATTATTTTATTTTAATTAATAATAATGGATATATATATATATATATATATATATATATATATATATATATATATATATAGGTATAGGGTACACTCTATTAACCAGGACATGTATTTAAATGATCCTTTTAAATTTGCAAAAGCAGTAGACAAAAAAATGTAAACGGTCATCTTTTTTAATCGTCCCCCATCTAAACAAATAATTAAACATTTAAATATGAAAGATACTGTACAACCAGTGACGTAGGTACCCCAATGTCGGATATCTAGTATTGTGGATACCTAGGTATCCAATATTGAGGTAACTACCTACTTGTACAATAATCGGTTATGAAAATTTCAACCCGCGCAATTATCGGTAAAATGCGTTAAATTCTGTATTCTAGCTATGCGCCTAGCTAGTATATGACACTGTCACAAAATATAATATCACTTACAGTACTTTAACAGCGTTTTGAAATCAAGGTCTGAAAAAATCGTCGAACGGAAAAATACACTTTTAATGAATACAGCGAACTGAAGGCAAAAATGGCGCAGACAACTAGCAAATTATTGGTAACTTACATTGACGAAGTAGTTCTAGTTTTTAAATAAAGATGGTGTTATTTAGTTTTCATTATAGCAGGGTATCCAGTATTGTGCGCGTATCCAATATTTGTTACGTCCCCCAAAACGGTCATTCTCCGATGTTCTTGGACTAGTGTTCACTACTTATTTTCCGTGGTAAATACTTAAATAAAAGTATTGGTTTCTTTGTATTGTACATTTCAAGTAGCAGTTGAAATACTAACAATTAAATCTTGCGAAAATTGCGTTCTACTCCATTTACGTATTACATAGGTGCTCAAAAAATACAATATGTTCTAATGTTAATATCAACAAACCTTGACCAATTGTCAGGACTTTGCTTTCGATAATGGTGTATGTGCGGTAAGCCTTCTTCTGGCCGCGCATATGACAACAAACGTGCGGCCAGAGAAGAATTTAAGGCGAGGAAAACAAAATTGGACATCATAGCGTCGCATCTTAGAAAGAAAACTTTTGTACAGTTCTGGAAAGCGACTAACAAGTTGAACCAAAGGGTGGGTCTTCCTGTGAGCATGGAGGGTGTGTGCGAGACCGGTGTCATAGCCAATCTCTTTAGACGGCTTTTTAAAGTGGGCACGGGAACAAGTGAGTTTGGAGTCGAAACTGAGAGCAAATTGTGTAACGACCCCATAATGAAGGTCACTGCTAAGGAGATTGCCATCATTATCAGGGACATGACTAGGGGAAAGTCACCTGGTCACGATGGTTTCAGCATCGAACATATTCAACCATCAAACAAAACAAACCTTCCCAGGGTCTTATCAAAGCTATTAAATTTATGCATTCGTCACAAATATCTTCTATATTCTTTGGAAGTGCGCGGGACGTGGTATCGTTAACTGACGTGTTTACATTTCGCTCGTGAATTATTGTGAATTAACTGTGCAAATGTTAAGTTATTATGCTGCAAAATGTATTTCAAAAGTTAGCTAAAACTACGACCTGTTGAGTGGTACATTTGAAATAATCGAACATTCTGTGGATTTGCCAAAAACTTGGGATTTACCTGTGTTGTGAAGTTTTAACTGTGTGGTGAGAACTTGAACTCGTTTCATTGACCGGTCGTTAGTTCATAACGAACTTTTTATTAGCTGCTTCAGTAGACACACCCAGCCGAAAGCCGAACTGAGCATCGTGCAGCTTGACGTGTTGCCTTATGTATCTGTTAAACACAGTGTCCAATATTTTCGCCATTATGGAAGCTAGTGATACTGGCCTGTAATAACTGTAAATACTCTTATCTGAAGCATCACCGGCATCCACATCATAACCTAAATTATGATGTCGATGGTATTATACCAATAGGAGGTCACCTGCTTTCGCATGCTTCCTTGATATGTCAAGGACTTTTGACATGGTATCGTATAGTGTACTTTGGGACAAAATGAATAACTGGAGTATATCGAAAGAATTAACAGAATTGTTCAGGTACTGGTATGGTAGTCAAACAAATTATGTTAGATGGGCAGGAAGTCCTTAGAGGAGTATAAAATGGAATGTTGATAAAGATAGGGAGGGCTAAACTCTTCTAATCTGTTTAACTTGTATATAAATGGACTGATTAAGGAACTCGGCAGCACTGGTGTGGACTGCTCTATCGATGGTTGTTTTATAAACAATATAAGCTATGCGGATGACATGGTGCTGCTGTGCTCCTCAATCAGTGCTTTTAAGATTATGTTAAATGTATGTAGAGGCCCATGGACTAAGATACAATGTTGAAAAGAGTGTGCTGTTTGTATTCAAATCAGGTACCAAATCTCATCTTACGCCACCAATCACTATTAACGGTATTGAACTTCAAAAAGTGTATAAGTTTATGTATCTGGGTCACTGAAAATTTAACGGATGATGTGGATCTGGAGAGACAACGTAGAACGTTGTCGGTACGGTGTAATATGTTATCCCGCAGGTTTGCATTTTGCTCGCAGGAGGTAAAAATCACTCTTGTCAAACCTTATACACATGCAACTTGTGGAGCAATTACACCAAAAAAGACTACAGTGCCATGCGTATCCAGTTTAACAACGCACTGAGGGGACTATTGGGGCTGCCTCGATACTGTAGCTCCTCGAAAATGTTTGATGTTTGTTAGAATTGATGGCTTTAAGGCTGTCGTTCGCAAGCGAGTGGCATCTCCAATGGCCAGAGTGCGGGGCAGCGCCAACAATCTTCTCAGGGTGATAGCGGTGAGGATGGACAGCCGAATTCTTGTATGTACATTGGGTGTCCATTCATGTAAATAAAAATAAACAGTTCACTTTTTACTAATATAGTTACTAAGAAAATACTTACACAATATGTATAATTAGTGTCTGAAATAAAGATTTTTGTAATTTTATTTTGCATATTTTAAATTATTACGGCTTTGACCTCATAGGTCAATGTTTGACCTTGACATTCGCTGTTTCCATTCCTGCAAATAGAAATTTGTTTATTAAAATGGCAACAACAAAAGTAATCTCGCTTTATTTGTTTAGTCTTTGCGCTATTGTCGTGGGTAACTAGATAACTCGCACGTAGATTCGTATAACTTTATCTCTTTTCACAATTATGGTTGACATTTTTGAACGTGATTGGTAAGCAAGAAAAGCCAAGAAAAAACAAACAAAAAAATCATCCATCACATGAATGGTCATTCCAAAAATTAATTAAAAATCCCAAAAAAAATCTCTACTTCTTTGTCGTCCATTTGGCCTAATATATCAAGGTAAGTGAACTTCACGATTAACTTAGATTAAATTTCTTAAATAAAACGTGTAAACGTGTCCAGAACGAAAAGTCGAGAGGTTATGAAAAAAAACCTTTTTTGTTTTTTCTAAATTTTCATCTCGCACAGTTCACAGCACTCGTTCAGAGCAACGTATTTCAAGTAATAAATGCGCTGTTTAAACCGGGTGATAGAATATTCTCGAAATTGTACGTTTCAAAACAAAGATACTACAATCACATTGTTTTGAAAAACGTATAAGCTTATTTCATACATAAACAACGATATAGATACTAAGTTCTTGTGTTGTTTGCGTAAAATATACTTTAAAATAAATTTATGAACGTCATTCAACTCTGAAACAAATGAAAACAGGATACGTCATAGGATAAATCCAGTATAATTATTCAGTGACTGAAATGACTATAGTTTCCAAGTTAGAGCTGGGTTATAACGTCTTTATCGAAAAACGAAGCGAAACGGTTATTTTCTAAAAGTAAACGCTTTCCAGAAACAATTACAAAAAATAACTAACCTCCCGTCGTACTTTTCCAGGCCTAGATAGAACTGGTTGACGAAATGTTTAGGCGTGCTGTTGGCGGTCTAATTTGTCATAGAAATATCAATTAAACGCATCTAGCATAAGATCCATTTTACCAAAAAACAGTGACAGTTTTGAACAGTCCAGAAACACTTCCTAAAACTGTTTTTGGGACTTTATTTTATAAAATGTAACCTAAGTTAATACTAATATCTTTTGTTCTGTAAGGCATGATTGGAACAAATCACAAACAAATTAACTGTTTTTATTCAGTCGCACACAAGTAACATAATGTGTTTGCAGAACATAACGCCATAGACAAATAACTACAGACATGCATAACTTGCAGTGCCAGTCTGTTTCATTTTCTTAAAAAATAAATGTTGTTCCTTTAGTAACTGTTTCCGAAACCTACATGAAAGCATTTTTCGTTAGATTGAAATAAAGTAACTGTCTCAATGGCTGAACGGTTACCATGTCGACTGCCACGCAGAGGTCCCAGGTTCGATTCCCGGGCCAGGAGAAATATCTGTACGGTCTACATTTGTTTCACTCGTGGGTTTGGGTGTAATTCGTGGTTGTCTATATGTGTGTCCATGGCACCCGTGACACAGAGTTTCCCTAGTGCGGGGCTACTTTGAGTGTGTGGATTATTATTATTTAAAAAAAGTGTCTCTTTCGGAAAAACGCTTTCGGAAAATAATGCTCAGTCCAAGTTTCTATATAGCATGTTGATCCGATGGACAATATATAATTTATATTATACTATAATTTGCTGTGGCATGCTTTTCAATGTTAGGAATAATTATAACAAAACTGATTTTGGATGGGTACTGCTATGATGCTGGGTTAACTTAGTTTCTAGCTGAAATATCTCTGTCTTCATGAATATCAGGAAAATAGATTTCTTTAATGTAATTATAAAATATAGTATTTGGCCACTAGAACAAGTTTTTATTTTGTACTCACAAAACTATAATATTCATTAAATTGAAAAGTTATTATGATAACAAAACTGATATTGCTAAAGTTTCTAGAATTCATGACGATTTGTTGAATATGAAAAGTGGCTTGAATATGTGGATGGGTCCGGGTTCCTATTGAGTCTCCCAAAATGCTGGCACAGGTCCCTGTCTGATGACTATGCTGACACTAGATGAGGCAGCTGGCAATTTTATGAAAATTACAATATTTTAAACATTTTAGCATTGTTTGACTCTCTCTGAACTTATGAATGTAAAAGAATCATACAATTTTTTTACTTAAGACATAACAATTTATCTTTAACAGATGTGTGATATGCTAAGTTGGTTTCATATGTGATAATGGAATGACCCAGCTGTTAGTACTTGTTACTACATTTGCTAACTATTTCTTTGGTAGAACCTTGTTAGTTCTCAGGTGTCGTAAATTATTTGATATACATTCAATTTTGCAGATGTCTGGCCGAGAGGGTGGCAAGAAGAAGCCTCTGAAGCAGCCTAAAAAGGACTCAAAAGAACTGGACGAGGATGATGTAGCACTCAAGCAAAAACTCAAAGAGCAGCAAAAGGCTTTGCAGGTATAGTTCATTGTTGTATTTTGTTGTAGTGTAACTTAATTGTTTTTTTTTGTACTTCTTTGTACTAAATAAATGCATTCAGGATCCATTCCTGACCAGACCCAATTCGTCAAGTGGTGACCATTCACAAGTTTATTTTATTGCATGTACAAAACAGTTTACATGTTTGAGATACAATTTAAGGACTTAATCTAGAATGTAGACCACTTGTACATACAGCATTTATATGCGAAATGTAAACATATTTGTAAAAGAAGTTAAAAGTGAGATCACAAATGTGAATAAAGACTAGCACATATAATATTAATTGAACAGTATTAATAAGAAGACGAGTTGAAGTAATTGAGGAGATTGAGACAAATTCTACAAAGATTATAGTTGGAAACATCAGTTGACACTTTTACCAGGCATTGCTCTCCTCAACCATATTTGAGGGAAGACGGCCTTTGGGACTAGTCAAATTATGCCCAGAATTTGCATCACATACATTATAATCCACATTGAGGTGACTAGGCATGGCTGCTCTGCAATGCTAAATGCCAGCATTGTTACCTTAAAATGCTATTTGTATTTGATTTTAGTTGAAGTAATCACTAATGCACTCTCCTAATTACTAATGTATAATGGACATTTAATGACACATACCCAAAGATCCCTTAGCATTATTTAATAATCTATATCACCAGCTGTCTTCTACACATTACTTTCATATGCTTGTTGTAGATTTTTTTCAGTTATTATGCATTATTCAGCGCCATAGAGCATCAAATGATCTCATGTACACAGTACAAACAATTATTATTATACAATCCATACTGCTCACCGCTCATATTCAGATTTCTTTCACGAATATGGCGCGGGTTAATGTTTATTTTATATTAACAATTAATTAAAACATACTTGAAATAAAAACATTAATACTTTTGACTTCTAGAGCCATATCACAAGCCAGGCTGATGAAGTTATCAGACGGAAAGGAAAAAAAGTTGGTTATTATAATTTATTATTTTGCTGCCTCAGATGTCTTCTGGGCATTGTTCAGTGCAGGTCCGTAGACAGGAACAGCAATCTGAGAAATTCCAGAGGGTTGATGAGTTTTCAAATAGTGATATTAATTCTGAGAATATTTATCAATTTCCATACATACATAGTATGAGTAATTTCCATAGATTTATGATTAATTTCATAGTAATAATAATTAGGAAAAAATTATTTCAAATTCTGTATTTTTCGCAATATTTGTTTTAGCTTGCTAGGTAAACAACTTATTGTACTGCGTGACTCTAAAGTGTAGTCGCAACGCCACCAAATTTAGTTTTCGTTAGTTTTTTGCTGCTATCAATCTTACGCGTGTTATGCGTCGAACGTTTACATTTATACATAGTCTTAAGTGTAACGAAAATCTTATTAATAAGTCAACGTCGCAACATTACACAGAGGTGAGTCAGGGTGGCGAGCGCGGTTCGGTGGAACGACCATTTTGTAAAAACAAAGAAAACAAAATTCTGTTATTGAATATTTGAAACAAAATAGACTGCTTAATATGGATTTGTCCGTATTTCAACCTGTGAGCTTTTCACCTGTCTATGGGCCTGTAAAAATGAATTGGCGCATTTGTAGCAGTCCATAAAGTGGTTGTTACCCCGCATGCTACTAAAAGCTCTTTGTATGGGGTAGTGACTAATAAAACCAATCAGCTCCAAGGTCCTTGCATGCTGACTGTATCACAAACGATTAAAATCGCTGTACATAACAAACAACGGCCGCATCTTCCATATTTCACCATCAAACGACTTGACTAAATTTACCTGATATGTGATTTATCATGTTTTTTTCAGTATTTATTCATTAGTAATATTAAATACTAATTACGTATTTAGTTCTTAACACAAATTGCTATCTTTATTCAGTGGCTGATAATGGTTTTTATTTGCAGGAAGCCAAAGCTAAAGCTGCACAAAAGGGTCCTTTGGTGAGCGGCGGCATAAAGAAATCTGGCAAAAAGTGACAAAGTCAAGAAAGATTATTTCCATTTGTATTTAATTACTAGGCTAAAATTTTTAATGTAAGACTTTACCTTTGCTTGCTGAATAACCGACGACAATCTTTGGCTGAATGTTTAAAACTTTATGCTAAAAAAGTTCAACTGAAGGTTATTTTTCATACATATTAATAGAACAGCCTCAATTGTGCACTGCCATTTGGTGTGCCTTTTAAATCTCAAGACAATGTAATATTCAACAATGCCCCATGCATTTGTTTCTAAATATAATAAAATGTGAATATTAAACTAGAGTGCCGTTTTAATTATGCCCCTAATTTTAATTCTGGCAGAATATGCTTAAACATCTTTGCCCAAATTCTTTCCCGCCGTTATAAATAATTAGATATGTTGATTACTTTTCATTAGCCTTCGCAGTTTAATTCCACATTGTGCAGGTTTTGATTGCATTTCTTTATTAAAAACAGGTAAGTTATATTTACAGCATTAAAAATGTTGGTTTATTTCACTCTATAACCTGTTTCCTACTAAAAAAACTACAGTTTTCCGTTTCTTGATCGTTCTAGTGAATCGCTTCAAAATGAATTTCCTAAAGAATGTCATAACACAATTTCAAAAAAGATATGTTTTTGACGAAACGCTAAAAGAAAATAATGAGTTCAAAAATACCATTGAACACTCAACTGTAGAACAAAATAGTACGATTGAACACTCCGCTAGAACTCTACAACAAAACTCAAACCGCGCTGAAGCAGTTACAATTACACAATCTTTTCATAATGGTTCGGAAAATGATAACAGTGTAGGAGACGAAATTTCAAATAAAAAAAGCATTGTCGAAATAAACAAAGAAAATATAATTAATATTTCTGACAATGAAGAACCTTTAAAGGTTTTTGACGAGTTTATAGCCTTTCATAACGATGATATTAACACCTTGGTACAAAATACTAAACACGACTCTGAAACAGAATTGACTTTACACAAAGAAGATGAAAATTGCATGTTGGAAATAAATGATTTCGAAGAGGTTTTGAAGGAATTCATGATTAATAGAGACGATATATTGCCTAAATGCAGCGATATGGTAGATTATATAACAGACCTAAACATCATAAATGAAGAACAGAATTTAGATGGTTTTGGTAATTTTTTTGACACTTCCAATGATTTGGAAGAAAGCGAGATATCTAAAAAAAATCGAGACACTAAAAGCATGCCAGAAGAATACAACACTTCAGATATAAATAAAACGCAATTATTAAAATTGAGGCATATCATAAAAACTAATAAACTTTCGGACAATGAAACTTCTACTCCTGGGCTATCAACGACTGAATATAATGAAGTTCATGAAATGCAATTTAAAAACACAAACAAAGTTGAACATTTTGAAGTACAATCAAATGAAATACAAAGTCTAACACTTGGCGTTAATACGTCCATAGTTGTTGATTTAACAGTAAAAGAACATAATAGATTTGAAATATATGGTAAAATTGATGAGACCCAAGATTTGACAAATGATATTCAAAACACAGGTAAACTAATAGAGGGATCCGATCATACTAAAACGGTATCAAAAAGTGATGACCATATTATCGAGTGTAACAGTGGTAATAAGATTTCAAAACTTGGAAAAGACAACATTACTATTGACTTCGTAAACGAAAGAGGTAACAATATAACGGCAACATCTGATAATGGACCGACTGACATAGAGACCATATCGTTACTATCCGTAGAAGTGAACATGGACGATGACGATTTGGACCTCTGCAATGGCTATCATTCATCTGATTTTGAGTTTATAACAGAAAGCGACGCTGAGATTAACGGTCTTATAACAAACACTTCAAAATCTGCTGAAATTAAAAAGAAATCGAAAACTAAACATGTTACTTCTAAAAACTCTTCGTCAAATGAGGTAAAGCCGGGATGTAGCAAAGATTTCAAAGATAATTATAATATAAATGAACATTGTAGTACACAAAGTTCTAGATCAAGCCACACCATACCTCAGGGTGAAGAATATCTAAAATTATTCCAAGGAATATACTCGCCTATGTTCAATGATTTGTTCTTCTGGGAAAACAAGTCTGTCAGAGCTCAGACTTGTATGAACGTTCAATATGAAGGTGTAGGATTTGACATAAGAATGCCAAGCAGAGAAGACACTAATGAGGAATGTAAGTATAGGATACTATACCTACTACATAATAAGCTTGAAATATTCTAAGGCCTGGTTTAGTATATGAAACCACAGCTTTAACAAGAAATATGGGCTTATTCTCAGTTGTCACCACTGGCTTCGTTCCCACTAGCGACAAATGGAGTAAAAAATCCCAATTAATGTTTATTTATTGCCACCATCGAAAGGGAATAAAATAAAATTCGAGTTTAATGATAAAAGTATAGGTCTTATTAAAAATCAGTCTTAAACATCAGATATTTCCAATACCATACAACAATTAAAAATCACAGAAATAATCACATAGTTTACAACTATAATAGTTTGGACACACAAGTAAGTTTACTTATCTAATTTAGCAATTTTTTTTATTGTAACTGTTGTTTTGTATTTATAGTGCCCAGATTTTCTGAATAATTGGAAATGATGTGATTATTTCTGTGATTTTTAATAATAGTAATTATTAATTATTGGAAAAGACTAATTTTTTTAATAAGATCTGTACTTTTATCATTAAACTCGAATTTTATTTTATACCTTTCGATGGCGGCAATAAACAAACATTAATTGGGATTTTTTATTCCATTTGTTTTTTTTTTACCACTGGCAACTACTGGGATATTTTAAATTCCATTTGTCGCCAGTGGCAACAACAGATCTTTTTATCCCATTTGTGACCACCTACTAACATATGGGTTTTTTTCCCCATTTGTCTCCAGTGGAAATGACTACCAGCAACAACGGACACTTTTTATCCCGTTTGTCACCACCTGGTAACATGGGATTTTTTCCCCATTTCTCGCCAGTGGCAACAAAGCCAGTGGTGACAACTGGGAACGAGCCAGAATATCGCACCTTTCAGCTTTATTTCATACAAAAATTACCATAACTGCAGCATTATGAGGTTCCCTTCCTGGCTCTTGTCTATAACGTATCGACGAACCCTTTAGGCGAATTCGACACAGTCGCCGGCTGCAGCAGACTGACACTCGCCTATTGCCGCAACCGCAATTTGTATGAAAATAGAATAATCGCTTCTAGTTGCCGGTTGCTGGTATCCAACACAAGACACGTTACAAAACGCGGCGCCTTATAAAACTCCCTACAAGATCTTCAGTGTTGCATAAATCACGTGGCTTAGAAGCCATTACATAGAGTCATGATCATATTATAGAGGTAACAATTCACGTCTGTACTGCTCGGCAGTCTACGGTCGCTACCAGAGCTACGGGTTGTCTTTGTGCGATATATGTTTTTTTGTTTCATGACCGTTTATTTATGTGATATGAATGTTCAAGTGGAATGTTCCGTGTGCATCAAATTTTTTTCTGCCATTCAGGTACTAGAGATTAAGAGTAGGCAGTACTTATTTCGCTCTGTGCTTTATTGAACTCAATAAATTTTTACCCAGATAAAGAAGCAAATGAAAACGTTAAGAAGATTCTAGAATTATATCCTTTTGAGAACAGAAGCAAGAGAAAGCGGCGTAGAATTTAGATTCAACATTTTCATGAACTGTTAATACCGTCAATAGTAGATAAATCAGGCTTGACACTGAGCCGCTGTTATCGCAAGAGAAATAGAGTTGAATTTATGACATTTTATGTGGCTCGAGCCCGTCTCAAGCTTGCCGCGTTTTTGATCCTGTACTACCTTCATATTTTTGCAGAATATACTGGTTGTTGAATTTACCATTGAATTTTTATTAGCAATACCTACATATATATTTTATTTTAGTAAGATTATTAGTAGATAATATAAATGTATAAAGTAATAATCTATATCGATAGAATTTATCGAGTGTCAGTAATGCACGGCCCTGCCGCTTAAAGGCCAAAATCTGCTCGTTCCCTACTAATAAGTGGGAGAGACCGCAATATCACATTACAAATTGGACGCCAATCAACAAGATGATTGTGGAAGAACCAAAAAGATGGTCAAAATCATCAGGTTATTGTCAAAAATCAGAAATTGCGCAAATAATTAACAAAAATATAGGGTAAAGAGATTGGGCGAACAATTTACAAACACATCGTCTAGTGCCAGGCAAACAATTGACAAAAGCATCGTTTAAAGATAGGGTTTGCAAGTCAAAAATTACGGTTTACGGGCAAACAATTGACAAAACTTGCCGACGACGACTCACCGAGCGTTACCCAAATCCCGTTGTTCTTATTCGGTCACAAACATATTTCATCAGGGTAAATAATAAAGAATATACAAGTTAAAAGGTTTAAATTTATTGTAAATATTTACAATGAGAATTAAAACTAGTGTCTAAAATTAAATTTAAGACTAATAAAATGTGTACTTTTTAGTAGTAGCTTACAGTAGATTTATCTTTACCATTAACAACTTATTATAAAATGTCTCAAATACACAAAAAAATACGAAAAATTTTTATCAAAGAAAAAATACACCTCGATTCATCAAATCCTTCATCAAAAATGTCAATATTTACGTGTACCCCTTAGTTACAGAAAGAGGAGTCAAATTCGTTAACAGATAATTTTCGTGTCTGCGGTGTTCAAAGCACCAAGAGAACAATATTAAAAAAAATTATTTCATCGTTTATTCATACCTTACGCGATTATTTTCTTACTTTGTCCGTGTAAATCGCTTACTTGCAAAACCAAAGAAAAAATTATATCTAGTAAGTGGTACACAGAATACCTCACAATCAATAAGAACCCAAAACTGGGGTAGTTTACGATATGCATGTATAATATATACTTATTCTTAAATATTGGAAAAAATATTGTAAGGGTGGTTGAGCGATAGATACACTTATGAAGAGATGAAAGTTAAAACGGCAAAAGCGCGAAAGAGACGCGTTAAACGCAAGATGGGGTCAAGGCTGATATGCGGAGTTGACTGACCACCTAGAAACTGGATTGCGATCATGTGACTGTCGCTTCTTTGTGGTGACTGTTGCTTGCAATTTGTAGCTGCTGTCGTTTGCTACATTTGGCTATTGCTGCGCTTCGGAAGAGCAATGGAGCAACTTTTTACTAATTGTGGCTAAGCATGACCACTTGTGGCAAAGCCTGGTTTATTTGTGGCTGTAGCCACATGGCCCATTTACGGCTTAAATCTCGTAAATCACACTAGTATTCTATCAACACCAGTACGCTTTCTTTACAAATAACTAAACATGTATTCTTATATCAAAAAACGTAATTGCGTTTTGAAAATACAAAAGATATTAATAATCTTTTTATCTTGTAAAGATAGATTAATTCTTAGCCTTCCTTTTTGCCGGTGACCGGGGTGGTACATCAGTCTTCTTACTCTGAAATAAAGATTAATTTTTAAGTTTTAATTGATATTCTATGTAGCTTCGTAAAAGAACACTACTAATGCCATTTATGACCATTGGGGAAATAAATTATGCTAAATTGAGTCAATATGGGTCCTGAAACGAAGCTCTTCTGTGCAGCGTACATTGATATAGTTTTCGTTTTCAATGTAAATGGCATTGTGGTTCTATATTTTAAATAGCTACTTCACTATTACGCGCCAGGAGAACAGAAATGTGCTTAAATGTTCGACGATCGATGTCCCGGTTCGACTCCCAGTAAGATCAACTGATTTGGTTTTCTAAATTAGTTCTGGTTTGGGTGTTTTGGGTAGTGCTCTTTTCTTATACTCATCATATACAGGGTTATTTTTAAAATGTTAACAACCTCACAGGATTATATTACTAACATCATAAACAACAACTTTTGTTCCAGACTTTTTACAAAATGCAATAAATTTACCAAAAATAATCTTTTAAGTTTTTGTGGTACCATCTAACACTACTGTGGTACTGATATGTATTTGGTAGTAAACAACCCATCCACTACCTGTTTGGCAGTCCGCCGCGCTGGCAAGAGACTGCTCACACATTATCCTGCGTGTAGCCCACGTATGGAGTCTCGCAGGACACATTACAGGATTGCAGGATGGTTTGCACGCTGCGACTACATTCATAATCCAGCATTACGCGGCGGACGGTGAGGCGGACTGCAATGCAGGATAATGAATGCCACCTTTAAGAGCGCGTTCTCATCATGTCGTAATGCTTTATTTATCGTTGGGCGACTGTCGCATCTAGCCTGTTCCGTTATCACGACAATCTGTTGTGACCGTGACATGAGACATTTATCGTTGAACGACTGTCATGTCTACCTACCTGTTCCCACTAGATCGAAACGACAATTTATCGGTTTACGACAACCGTATTTTGTTTGAAGCTGCGATTATCTGTCGTCACATTTTTATCGTGACGCTTTATTTATCGTCGAACGACTGTCGTCGTAGCACTTACCATTGTCACGACAGTCAGTCGTCGTAATATCAAAAAAGTCGTGAACGACAGTTCATCGCGTGTTGTGTTCACTACATGGGAACAACTTCATTTAAATATACAAGTCACACTTTGCACGACTATCTATCGTCACGACATAATGAGAACGCGCCCAAAGTTGTATAGCAACGCCTCCCGTGTGTGTCATTCATAAAATTATTTGGTGATGGGTGCATTATTTCGCTACCACACAGAGTTATCACCATTTAGAGCGGTCTCAGTAAAATTGGATGGAACAAAAGTTATTGTTTATGATGTTAGGAGTATAGTCCTGCGAAGCTGTTAGTATGTTAAAAACAATCCTGTATACCAGCCCGTTGCACCAAGTACCAAGTACCAGAACGTTTAATAGAAATCAAAAGACGACATAATTCTGTTTCTTTTAAATTAAGTGCCTCTACAGCAGCATTGCCAACTTAGCGACTTTGTCACTAGATTAAGCGAGATTTTGACATTAACAAAGATATTTTATTTCTATTTATCTACTTTTTTAACCGACTTCAAAAAAAAGGAGGAGGTTCTCAATTCGATTGTATGTTTTTTTTGGCATTTGTGAACGGAGTCTGTAGAGTCTTTTTTGTTGGAAAAAAGGTAACTCAGTAGTGATCCCATTTAAATTTGAATAAAATATTCCACCTCTAGGTGTGGCAAACTAGAGAATGGATCCGGTTTCGCGCACTTTCTGGTAACTGATTTCAATAGAACTTCGCAAATAGATACTGAGATTGTTAATTAATTAGGTTTCAACCTTTAACATTAAAATAATTTTGTTTTAGCTACCTTTGTGAACGCGCTACTAAATGGTAGGTTTTATATTTCAGGTAGTATTGTTCTTAGTCGTTAACAACTTGCGTTATGTACACGACACTATTCCCATTCAGCATCGGAGACCCTAAGAACTTGTCTAGCGACATTTGCTTTAATCTAGTTGGCAACACTGCTCTACAGTGAATGTGCAGACTACATAATCCGCCTTGGGAACATTACACTCTTAAAAATTTTTCATTATCGACACATTCACGAACTGTCAAATAAATACATACAGTCACGCCGGTTTGAAAAAACTATAAACCCTCGACAGGATCGATGAAAGTGGTGATCCATGTTCTCTGCCTACCCCAACAGGTGACAGGCGTGACTGTAACGTGTATACATGCAAAAAGTTTACGAATACGTTGTGCGACTATTAAAAATATTTCTCACACAATAAACACACATAACTTATATAAAATTATCTGTTATATCTAATGGCAAAAACGAAATTGACGTTACTATTATAGTCTTTTTCACGTAAGGTGGGTAATCTCACAGCCAGATAGGTGCAGTAAAAAAAACGAAATAAATGAAGCCTGTCTACTTGATGCAGAACATTGAATTTTCATCCGCAAACATATTTACACCATATAATCGACAAATCGAATCGGCCATCTTGTCATGTGGCGTCTCTTACGAGTTCATGTTTTAACTTGTATGTTTTGCTTCGAGAGTTCCGCGTGATGATTGACTTCTGTTAAAGAGTCGATTCTACGTCAGCTTGAATTCAAATTTTTCTCGTACTAATACGGTTAATTTTGCCTGGATCGAGCGGTAGGGTTACGGGTTTAATTTCAGAATTTATTCTTTTTCAAAAATAAATTAAAGCCATTTGAAATACATATATCGTATACTATACCTATTCTATTTAGTTCAGTGGATATTAAAAAAATGATTGGTATATGTAAAATACCTATTGAATATTTCGAGATAAGTTTGTGTTTTTTTTCCTATCGTGAAAGTGTTTAGAAATCCTGTTTTCAAATCGGTGATCGGTGTATATACTCAATTTTACTATATATTAATCACAAAGTGATTGATTCATTCACTGTTATTCGGAACCAACCAAAGCCAAAATACATAATTTGATAAGCCACCACCATTGTCTACACAATGCCACTCAAGTTGATTTGGGCACAAATATAAATTAATAAATTGTCAAATGAAGCTGTCACTTTACCTTCCAAACGTGATAAACTATAACTGTAAAAGCTCGCGACAAATTGACAGTTAATTTGGTGAATCTATAACGATATATGGAAATGAAAACTGACCTCTCCTCTGGATCTCTTCGCTCTAGGCTCATCCTTCTCTTTCTCTTCATGTTTATCTTTGTCATCTTTATCGCTTTTGTCATTCTCATCGCCGTTTGATTCTTTTTCTATATCTTTTAAATCTTTTTCTTTTGAATCCGCTTTTTGTTTAGAATCTTTCTCTTTGGAATCTTGTTTGCCTTTAGTATCCTTTTCTTTTGAATTACCCTTGTCTTTAGGATCCTTATCTTTAGAATTTCCTTTTTCTTTTGAATCTTTGTCTTTTGAATTTTCTTTCTCTTTCGTTTGTTCTTCTGGTTTATCCTTCTCAGCTTCTGTTTCCTTCTCCGTAACTTCTTTTTCTTGCTCGGTTTCTACATCATTCTGTTTTGGATCTTCATTTGCTGTGCTATTCTCATCTACTTTGTTATTTTCATCAGCTTGACTGTTTTCATTTATATTTTCTTGTGTTTGTTCTGTGTTCTCAGGTTCTTTTTCTGTTTGTTCTTTGTCAGTCTCTTTTTCTGTTGGTGTGTCTTGTTTTTCTTTTTGCTGGTCCTGTTTTTCTGTTTGCTTAACCTGCTTTTCAGGTTGCTTGTCTTGTTTTTCTACTTGTTTCTCTGTTTGTTTCTCTTTGTCTTGTTTCTCCTCGACCTGTTTTCGTGACGATTGTCGTTTTAGTGGTGGTTTTGCAGGGGTGCTGTTTGCTGCTTTTTTGTTCTTAGCTGTGAAATTAAATTATTATATAAATATGGGGAGCAACATCTTATTCCTAAAAGCACATATGTCCATAGACAATGCTTTGCTGGTTCCTGCACTGACGTTTGGTAAATAGTAAAATGTCGTGATGAAGCCTGTATATCGGAAAAGGTTCCCCTTGGAAAGATTGTGATGTGCCCAAAACTCATTTAATAGCCTACGCCCTGAAGTATAAAACATTAAACAGGTTGATTATAAAAACTTTCCAGTGGCACAAGACTGAGCAAACTTATGTGTCAAAACAAAAAGCAAGCATAATAATACAACGTTAAAAAACGTCAAATGAACTGCCAATTATTACGATTACTAAATAAGTAACGCCATTCATGTCACACATATGGAGCTCCCTGGTAATCAAATAATGATTTGTCTTAAAATACCTGGTGTAGCCTTTTTTTTATTCAGTGTGTCCTCTTTCTCTTCTTCTAAAAGAGGTTCTTCTTCGTTAGCTATGTCGATAGCTGCCTTGAGGGTGTGTGATGTAGGTTGGGTCATTTCTGCAAACAAAATAATTAACAATTATAGATTGATCCTATCCGTGTGCCTTGAAGCTCAGATTAAGTTTAGAGTTAAATGTAAATAGAATTTTACATAATTGAAAAAAAGTCCATTACTTTATATACTTTAGATATTGATTGTATGGATTTCGAAATGTATGTAAAGTGATGTAGGAATAGAATAAAATAATTTATTTCATACTAATAATAATGTGTCAAACAACCTATGTATAAAGGAATTCCTTGTACTATGAGAGGTGATCGACCTACGACGTTCACTCCGAGACATTAACAACCCAAAACGCTCAGACCAGAACCAGTTTAGCAAAGTTCATTTCCCAAATAACTCCAACCGGGAATCGAACCCGAGACTTCGTCCAAACCCCAGTTAGGTGATCAATACACATTTACAGTCATTTATGTTTAAATATTACGCTAATTTTGTAAACAAGTATACGTAAATTGTACCATAATATACGTAAGAATTTAACAGAAAATCTGTAATGACCATTGACTTACAAATAAATGGACGACGGGTCTAATACAAAAACTACGAAAAAAATGTCCCAAGTCAACCTATTCGAAATTTAAATTGTAATGTCATCGCAGTATCGCGCTGTCAGTAGAACAAATGAAGACTTAAGCGGAGTGTCGCGCTCTGTATACGATTTTAGCGCCTTACAAGTGCGGACACTTTTTAGCGCGGACCCGACGTCCATATAATTGTAAGTCAATGGTAATGACCTAATATTCTCCAATCATCTGATTAAAGCCTTTGCTTAACTGAATTGGTTTTTAAATAATTTTATGTTTGTTTTGCATTGTTTATACGAATATATGATATTTATTATCAATATCACAATTGAATGTTAATGCATATCATGTAATCGACACGAATATAAATACTAGCATACATTATGATAATTGTTCTACATTTTCAAATAATCGTCGTTTGTAACACAATCTAGATCCTATGCACCCGGCGTATTTTTTACGGAGATAGTTTTAATTTTAGTTTTGTTTGTTAATTTCAGTTAGTTTTTTAAATAAAGCAACTACATGAAATTCTAAGTGTAAATTCCAGTGGAGTATATAATTGGCACATCCAGTATATAACCAGAAATAAAGACGAAATGTCAATTAATTTGTATGAAAACTATTCTGCCATATCATTACTGTGACAACTGCGCTCCGATTGGCCAACCCGAACTCGAAACAATTGACGGGTGTCGTCAATTGTTTAACTTCAAATCGGTGTTATAAACGATGGTATAAACCAGTGTTTAACTTGACCTTTAAATACTAGTCTATACCAGGGCTATAATGCACGAAAATTGCAAAATTACATATTGAATATTGAATTACCGATGAAATTTGATTCCGTTTGTTTTGTAATTAGATGTTTTGCTTTGTTAGTGATATTATCTTTATTACAATAAATACAGAATATTTTTTGGAATGTACGGAGACTTACACACACAAAAAAAAGATCAGTTGTTGGCGCTGTACTATTTCAGTGCAAACGAGAGTTGATATTTATAAGTGATGTATCACTGATGAGTTACCAGGAATGTTTGGCCCTTATTTCGTCTCTATTTCTGATTATATACTCGATGAATTGCTACATTGCTAGGCTACAGCGCGTCTGGGGCGCTTATACGCGCAGATGTGCGCCAGCGGGGGCAGGCATGAGGCGCGGGCGCGGCATAGGCTCCGCGGTCAGTCGCGAGCCGGCAGCGCCAGTGCCCAACAAACTGTCCTTAACGCCGGACTGATACACTCGGTAGTAGTATAATTAATATTATTTCTGGTTTAATATTAGCTTACCAATAGGCTCGTGAACCATTTCGAGCAGTTCGTCGGCATTCAATGTGGATGTGGCTTTCTTGAACTGCAGCACGCGTTCAGAGAAGAACTCCCAGAACGATAGACCTTCTGGCGTTGTGAAAAGATCCTGGAATAAAAAAAAAACAAATCCTTTTATATGCATTAAAACATTAATTTTTTTTATAAAAAAACGACCTCAAAAGTTAGTGGAACTAACTGGCATCTATTTGGCAAGTTTTATTGAAATCGGTTTACCCGAAAATGCGCGAAATCGGATTCAGCCTCTAGTTTACAACCCTTAGAGGTGCAACATTTTCTTCAAATTTAAGGGGGACCACTGCTGAGATACCCTCTATCCAATGAAAAAAAAGAATAATCGAAATCGGTTCACAAAAAAAGCCGGAGTTATCGTGTAACATAAATGCAAAAAAAAACTGTCGAAATAAGAACCTCCTCTAGACTCTTTTTAGAAGTCGGTTAAAAATCATGAAGATTATTTAAAAAAACGATGATGTCGCGTGTTTAATTTAAGCAATGGAAAGCTGTGTCTTCTCACGATAAATTTAGGACATACTGAATGCAGCCGCGTGTAGTAAGTAGGCAAAAAAAATTAACTGTATTGGTTTGAGCCACTAAGTTACATGACAATCGTTATATTACAAGATTATAGTAACTAAGCCATGCTACTTTGAATATATTGAACATTTTCTTTTTGAGACAAACGCGCAGACTTATTGGGAGGTGGTCGTCGGGGCTCATGGCACCAGAAACTCCATATAAGGAACTGCTTGTGCGTTGCCGGCTCTGAGAGCTCTGTACTACTACGTAGTTCTACTACTGCTATTACTACAAGTAGAACTCCTTATGAAAGAGTTCGTCCAGGGAAGTACTGCCACCTTACCTATGAGTGAGCATTACTGGGTTCCGATTTTGAAGGGGAAATTACAGGCACATAGGACTTGTCAACTTATGTATCGGGATGACGGGCGCAGTGCTCCTAAGAACTTTGCGATTTGAAGCTCTTGGTGGCACAGCAACTGTTATGGCCAGGTGTGTCGCTCACCATCAGGCCCACAACTAGCTCGTTCCGTTACTCGCTTTTTAACAACGGGTGACAAATTAGGGAATTAATCCGGTTTAATGCGTTTCAGTCACTTTCCGTTAACCGATTTAAATAAAACTTGGCAAATAGATGTAATTCCACAAACTTATGAAGTCGGTATTTTTAAATAAAAATGTTGTATTATCTTTTCACTTACCTTCATGTATTTATAAACATGATCCGCTTGTTTTCTGATGCGGTGAGCTTGTTTGCTGAAGTGAATGGAGTCGGTCTCGCTGAGATCCCAGGACGGCGTGTTGCCGACGTACGCCCGCATGCGTTTTATTGTCTCCAGGCAGGAGGGGTGCTTCAGCAGCATTAGGGGCTGGATTTCCAATTCTGTAAACATTAATATTACATTTACAAGATAAATAATAAATGCATAACGCACACACTCAACATAGCCCCGCACTAGGAAAAAACCCTGTGTCGCGGGTGCCATGGACGCATATATAGACAACCACAAATTACACCCAAACTCATGAGAGAAATATATGTAGGCCATACAAATATTTCTCCCGGAGCGGGAATCGAACCTGAGACCTCTGCGTGGCAGTCCGACGTGGTAACCGTTCGACCACGGAGGCAGTCAAAAATGTTTAGACCAATGGAAAGCTCGGTTGTTAACATACTTATTTGTATGCCAACTGTGATACACTTCGTTTCAATCCATTTTAAACAAGAAGCAAGACGGTTTAGTGATGGCCAATTTGACTGCCAACTACAAATCAATTAATTAATTGAATCGATTCATTTAATTGAGTCATACTAGTGGTTTTCATTATATAAACTATAAAAGCAAATTTAAAATTTCCGAAATCTTAATTTTAAATCCTCGTTGAAATCGTTACACTAAGGGTCGTAGTCCAGAACTCTACTCAATGCTCAAGTCAGGATTTGAGAAGAGTTGAGTATGATTTCAAGCACTGGAAATACGATCCTAATGGCAAGGACTTTAGTATGATTTCTAGTGCTTTGAATCATACTCAAGTCCTAACTTGAGCATTGAGTTGAGTTCTAGAATACGACTCTTAGATATTCGTTAGATTGCGATTGAAATTTTCGAATTACTAATCGATTATAAAAACTTTAATTGAATGAAATGAATGTTTTTCTTTATGTACAGCACTATGCAACATAGACTATTCATATATTTTTAATTAAAAAATAACTCACTTTTTGACTACCATTTATCAAATACGATTTTACGATGTTATTCAAAGAATATTGTTGGAAAAAGCGATGACAAATCAAGTCAAAATCTTCGAAATATATGTGAAAGTGTTACTTATTCGATTTAGAAAGAAAGAAAGAAAGAAAAATAATTTATTTGGCAACATTTTACAATAAATAATACAAAACAAACACAATCATACATTAATTTTGTTACCAAAACGTCACCACTCAGCTTTTTGTAATGAGACGTTGAAGAACGCCTCATTACGCTGGTTTTCAGTGGCGCCATATATGGACAAAAAGAAAGATGGCGCCTCGTCCAAGCAGGCGGGAAGATAAAAATAAAACAAAGAAACTTACTTACAAATATAAATCAAAAATTAAAATATTAAACAAAACCATAAACTAATCCTAACATAGATACATAATAATAAAAATGAAATAAATACCAAAAATGTGATTATAATGTAGTGTAAGTGAGGTGAGTATACGTAGTGTAAGTGAGGTGAGTATATGTAGTGTAAGTGAGGTGAGTATCTGCAGTGTAAGTGAGGTGATTAGTGTTAACACATTGTACAAATTGGCTCTGATCACTTTTTAAGAACTTTGCAAGCAATGCACGACTACCTTATGTATTGAGATTATAATTGAGATAATAAAAATTTATTGTATTATTGCTTTAGAAATTCAACCCAACCGTTTTGTTTACATTTCGTTTAAAATGGATTCGAACAGACTATAGAATATGCTATATTTATTTGAAATAAGAACATAACACAATAAAACACCGACAATATAATATACTGTTAGTTTATTCGTAACGTAAGGCCTGCATATGGTGCCTATATCGAAACCGCGCGGGCAACGCACAATACATATAAACGCTGGGTTTTGGACGCGAAAACTGAACGTAGGCTTGTCGAATCATGACTCGCAAAGTTGTCTTTACGATAAGTAAAATTTTCACTGAATGGATGCTTATCCAATTGTATACGAGAGAGATAGACTTACCCATGAGATTATCCAATAGCTTCAAGCACAAGTCGGTGTCCGCCTTTTCCAGGCACAGGCAGGTTTTGATCTTCGCATCTAGCTCAATCAGTTTCATTTCAGTTTTCAGGAATTGCACACGGGAGCGTTTTTCTTCTGAAAAAAAAACTTATTTTTAGGAGAATCAAGTAATGGGGCGAATAGTCGTGCGCCTCGTGGTAAGCAACATAACAGCTCGTCGTCTTACATTCTCAAACTTGTATCTTAAAGAACAAAGAAACTGAAATGCAAAAAATGCATTGCATACACAAATGTAATTAATAGATTCAGGCGTTACTTTGCGCAAGTCCGTGTGTTACGGACGGCCGTACGCGCCTGGCCGGTCAGAGCCAGAGTCCAGAACAGAATGATTAATTCGAGAGCTCTGATTGGCCGAGCGGCGTAGCGACCCATTGATAGGACCGGCACGATGTGGGAGACATCGTGCCGGTATAAATATAAGCGATTATTGTTACTTTACGCATTCACTTTTTATATTCGCTCATGAAAGCACTTGTTACAATTTCTTGTTTCGTAAGTCAGATTGACATTTTTGTTTTATATGAATATACAGTCCATTTTAAATCAAGGAGTTTTTTATTATCGAAGGAGAATAAAGCAGGAGTTCAGTTTTGCGGGCTGAATTCCGCACACCGTGTTTTTATTAAAAATGGAAGTAAATTAATTTGCTACTCCGTGAACCCAGTGAAGAAAGGTTAAATCGTGCAAAATAGCTGCGCTTGTGTTGAATTTTTTTTCATGCAGTTAAGTTAAGTTCCATCCTCCCTCTGCATAAAATTAATAACACAAGCGCAACTAGAGTCACAAACCACCACCAAAAATATACCCAACACGTGTTTCACGTCTCCACGAGGCATCCTCAGGGGCTGTTGATAGCTCGACTGTCGACCGAAGAATGAGCTCGTTTAGAACAGTTGGTATTTATACCCCGCTACCCCCAGTGTTACTATTATTGAAACCCGAAAATACCCGTAATAAAGGTGAATGATACAAAATTCTACTGTTAATTTATTATACAACCGCTGTTGTTGCACCCAATTATTTCCATCGGTTCTAAAACACCCAGACGTAGTTTGCAAAAATTAACTGCATAAAAAAATATTCAACACAAGCGCAGCTATTTTGCACAATTTAACCTTCACTGGGTTCACGGACTTGCAAATTAATTTACTTCCATTTTTATTATACACATGTTGCAGGCTAATTTCACATCACATTTACTTCATATTCACGCACTGGTTTTTATCTATTCTTAAAGTAATGCATCCAAATTAATCACCCTTATATAAAATCCCTTGATAAGAAATTTCAAATAATTAGAAGTTTTGTCATCTCCTGAATAATTACTATTTATAAGATACGTGTTTTAGAATGTAAGGCATCGAGTTTGAAATACCACTCAAAACTTTAAAACGCAAAGACTTTTAAGGCCCTCGCACTCTACGCTCGTCTCCCTGAGATAAAGGTTCTGTTTAGAGCTACTGAACACAACTGAAGAGCTCTTAAATGTTACATTATTTTAATAAGCGTTGCGCTCTCTATGGAAAATTGAAAGAATGCATGTCGAAAATGAAACTTTTTTTTTTCGGATCTAAGTCGCGTGTGAGCTGACTCTTGGCGAAAATAAAAGAAAAGGGCCTTTTTTTAATATACCAAGTACCGGGACGAACAAGTCGTGTGTCTGGTGATAAGCGAGATGCCTATCCATAACAGTTGCAGGGCTTTAAATCGCAAAGATCTTAGGGGCACTCCCACGCACACCCGTCATGCTTATCTTTATAAGTTCACAAGTCTCATGTGCCTGTAATTTCACCAGCACCCTTCTGTACCGAAGCGCAGTAATGCTCACATTACTGCTTGACGGCAGAAATAAGTAAGGTGGCAGTAGTTCCCTGGACGAACTCTTTCACAATGAGCTCTACGGCTCAGTCCACATAATTTATTACAAGTACAAAACGAAAAACAAAAGCGTAACTAAAAATAACGGAATGATATTCAAAAAATTACAATCTATATAAAACTATTTGTGAAATTACAGGCACATGGGACTTGTCAACTTATGTCTCAGGGTGACGGGCGCAGTGGCAGTGCCCTTCAGATCTTTGCGATTTAAAGCTCAGAGCTCAGTGGCACTGCAACTGTTATCGACTAGCGTATAGCTTACCATCAAGCGCACGACTTGTTCGCCCCGTCACTTGATGTTATAAAAAAATATTAAACAGTGCCAGACATTTTCTAAAGAGGGCCTATACAGGTGTATCTAATTGTTTAAACAGTAGATCACGTGAAAAGAGTTTTGTATCAGGATAATCTCTGAGCACATCCTCTAGCTTTGAGAAATTTGATGGAAGTGGTAAGAGAATGAACTAACGTAAAAATGGTGGAAGAAAGAATTCGAGGACGATTCAAAATTTTAAAAGTAAATGACTAGGAACCAGTAAAGAGGGAAATAAAAGGTAGGATGACGATGAAGGAGGTTAGCATCGTCACCACCCATATATTGCCGTCATCGATTATATAACCAGAAATAGAGACGAAATGTCATTTAATTTGTTTGAAAACTATTCTGCCATATCATTACTGTGACAACTGCGCTCCGATTGGCTAACCCGAATTCGAAACAATTGACGGGTGTCGTCAAATTGTTTTACTTCAACCGACGACCACTTTAACTTTAGCTTAGCTATAATGGAGGAAAATTGAAAAATAACATATTTAATTACCGATGAAACGTGATTCCGTTTGTTTTTTATTTAGATGTTTTACTGTTTTCCCATACCACCGAATATAATAGCACGTTAGAGATATTATCTGTATTACAATAAATACAGAACATTTTTGCAATATACGGAGACATACACACAGGTCAGTTGTAAGCCTGTCTTTATTTTAGTGCACACGAGAGTTGATAAGTGATGTATCACTGATGAGTTACCAGGAATGAATGGCCCTTATTTCAGACGAAAAAGATAGAGCACAAAGTTCTCCTGTTTTTTTTAATTAGTTAACCTGTTCGACTTATCGGAACTTATCCTAACGATGCATAGCTGAAATATCATTAAACAACTTCAGTATTCTAAAACTGGATTTTTTATGACATCTCTAAAAGTTATATATCGAGTTCTTAGGTTTTCACGATTGTTACACATAGAAAATGAAACTATTTTTCCGGATTTAAATCGCGTAATTTGTTTTTTCAAACAAACCGACGTTTCGGGCCCTTTACAAGTCCCATGGTCACGGTTGAAACTTTGAAACGTCGGTTTGTTTGAAAAAACCAATATACGCGATTTAAATCCGGAAAAATAGTTTCATTTCCTATCTCTAAAAGTTATTTTGTCACTTAGCTGCATTTACTTAGCGGAAGGCAGTATATTTGTTTTTTCAAATACACTAAGGTTTCTGGCCCGTTACAAGTCCCATGGTCACGACTGACTGCAAAATGTCTGTTTCTCGTATAAATTGCATTTTTAATAATGTCAGTACAAAGTACTAAAAAGCCGACCTCAAAAGTACGTGGCTTAACACTTGCCAAGTTTTATTGAAAACGGTTAATTGAGAGTGCGCGAAAACGGATTCATCCCCTAGCTTGCCACCCTTAGATGTGGAATATTATCTTCAAATTTAAAAGGGGTCAAATATGGGGGTATCCTCTATACAACAAAAAAAAATCATCCAAATCAGTTAACAAATTCACAAAACCGGAGTTATCGTGTAACTAATAATACAAAAAAACTACATTAGAATTGATAACTTCTTCCTTTTTTTAAGTCGGTTAAAATGGTTTGGCATCTCAATTTTTTGCAGTATAATCTTTGTTACGATGGTACTAGGTGCAATGTATAAGAATTTATGAATAAGAATTAAAATACCTGTCTCTCTTTCTTTGTCCAGGGTAGCTTTTTCTTCATCAGTGAGGTTTAGGTCCAACACCAGTTGAGCGAGTATTGATTGCGGAGTTATCTGACCCTTTTCTGTAAATATAATTTTTTTCTTGCTACAAAAATAATAGGGTATAATATTATTTGATCCTCAAAGAAATAATTGATATATTGTAAATGTGCACTTTTTTAAAAAAAGATATTTTTTTTAAAGTTTGGTATATATTAATTGTTCCATCTATATTAGTTGATCTACGGGTAAATTATAAATGAAACGCTTTCAAGTTAACACTATTATTATGTTTAAACATACTAAATTTATATTTGGTATTCAAAAATAACGTTTGATCCTCTTTTCTATTATTGGTCCTTTCTTTTAACGATTGATGACTTTTATAACCAGTATATCTTTTGATATTGATCTCCTAATAAATCTTGGTTGCTTGGTAGCGATCTTCATTCAGTAGGTTAGGTTAGTACATGAAAAAGCAGCACGGAGCGAGCGACGCGAGCTTGTCGCGGCAGCGGCCGGCAAGTGCCTGAAGCCACTTTGCTTGCGTTTCCGAACATGTTATCAGGTCAAATTATATTATAGTTAATATGATATTTGTATATAAATATAATCAACATTTACTTAGTTTTAAAAATAAGTATCTAAATTTTATTTTTAATTCTCATTTGTCTTAGTTTTGAGGCCCAACATAAAACTATCAAAGTTCATTTATACAAATCAAACATTGATTTTCATAGCTCTGAATAGACTAAAATATTAAATACATGTCAAATAATATTATTATAATATTATAAATACTGTCATCTTCTTATCCAGCGAGCGATTTGATCGCTGGCGTCATTGTCGTTCAGTTTGCAGCCTTAGAGCGAGCAAAAAAAATGCAGCCTTAGGGCGAGCAATAAAAAAAAACAGACTCACCTAGCTGCATTTTCAAAGTGAGAGCATTAGCAGCGGCTTGTTTGTCCCACTGAAGCCTGACTGCCTCGTTTTTGAAGTTTGGCGGTCGTGATTGGAAGAGTTTGATGCCAATGTATTGGTTAGTTGGTAGATAGGCTATGAGGATATTCTCTTTTTCTGTGTCCGCTATAAAAAAAAATAGCCATTGAAAATTTCAAAATTATGCTGATTAGAGTACTTGGGTTTTTGCGTTTGAAAGTAAAACTGGCCAGTCGTGACCATGAGACCGGTAGAGAGAGAGAGAACATAACAGTTACATGGACACAGCACATTACGCTACACATTGATGTATCTTGTTCCATTGCACTGAACGCGATTTTCGAATAACATAACTGAGGATAGCCTCGGCGCAAAAATGTGTAACCCACATTAAAAATGTTTTCTGCAATATTAGTTTAAATGATGATAGAATGATTACATTATTGCATACTAAAGATAATTTTATATTTTGATGATATTGTCATGTATAAAAAATATTTATAGTTCGTTTCAATCCATTACATTGTACAGAAAAAGTAAACAAATAGGTCACTGACCCGACTATAGACGGTTTAGTGATGGCCAGTTGCACTGCCAACTACAAATCAATTAATTAATTGAATAAATAGATTGGTTTGATTGGATTAGTTGGAACAACAGTTATTTTTGCGTTTTAGCTGCTGGTTATTAACAAATAATATGTGATTCGATACTGAGTGATGATATTTTTATACATAGTATTAGTACAAGGCGTAGTTACATATTACTAGTGGTTTTTCTTACATGACCTATAAAAATATATTTATAATTTCGGAAATCTTAATTTTAAATCCTCCTCTGAATGCTTACACTTAGCTACTTGCTCGATTGTGATTGAAACATTCGATTTAATAATCGATTAAAAAACTAAATGATCCGAATGATTATTTGTTCGACAGCTATGCAACCATACACAATGTATACTTCTACATTTGAAAAATAGCCTAATTTTTGGACTAACAGTTTTTCAAATACAATTTTAAGTTGTTATTCAAATGAATATTGTTGGAAAAGTTGAGATATCAAATCGATATAATGAACAGTCAGCAGTTAACTTATTTCATTTATTGATTGATTGCTTTAGAATTTTAACCAAACCAGTTTGTTTACTTTTACTGTAAGATGGATGAAAACAGACTATAATTATTAATTTTTTAACAGTAACTATTAAAATTGAATAACTTGAGTGCAACAGTTTGATCAATACATAAATCGACAGTTATTTTTAATTTAATATTTAAGTAATTCCAATAAACTACCTTGGCTATTTGTTTAAGTAGGTTTAGGTAGGTTTTATAAACTTTTAACACTTTTGTTTATCAGTTAGATTAGACGCCTACACAATATAACAAAGTTGGTTTATTAAACTGGTTCTAAGTGAGCTCCCCCAGACAACTAACGAATGATTATTAATTAAGGAAAAAACAAAACATATTATAATGAAAATGTATTAATCAGTCTTTTACAAAATTACTTAGGAAATTTCATTTTAATAAAAATTTCATTTTCTTTAGGATACATTTCTAAAATTTTCATAAATGTATCGTTTTCTTCGTTCTTCATCTCTTCGGGCACGAAACCGACGTCTTTGATATAATCCGAATAATTCTTATTAAATCCCATGTCCCCGAATTCAATGGACATTGGGGCGTATTTACGGTTTTTCTTTTTCGTCGGTTTGTTTTTGAACAGTTTCAAATATTCTTCACCTTCTGGTATTTTATAATCTTTTAAAGGTACCGGTAGTTTCTTGTCTTCATTTCTAGGTTCATTTTCAAAACTTTTAACGTCTAAATTTTTATATATCTTTTTCAAAGATGTAACGGAACAAAGAGACTGTACTCGTGAAAGGTTTTTTACGCTCGACTGATCGGATTGAGTCTCCTGTAACAGGTTTTGTGATAACAGACATTCGTCGTCGTTCAATACGTTTAAAGAACCTAATATTAGTCCTGCTATATGTGATGTTGGTTTTCGCTCAGTACCGCCTAGCGGAATTATTGAATTATGTTCTGTATTGCCAATTCCTGAATTAACGGATAAATAATTAAAATTTTCAGGATTTTCATCAAATTTTGCGGAAAATGTAGACATAAAGTCATTATTGAAATTATCATATTGGATTACAGTCTGTTCTTGGGTACATTGTAATTGCTCGTATAAGTCAATATTCATTATGTTAGAAGATTGTAAAAGTGAATTTGTTGTTTCTTCTGAGGTGGTACTTTTTGAAGTACTATCTTTTGAAGTCGTATCGTTTAATGTATTTCTACTAGAAGCTTCTTGAATATTATCAATGCACTCCTGCTTCTTTTGTTCTGCCTTATGTATAGGTTTTGTAGGTGGTACAAACTTTTTAGCTTTCGCTGTAGTTTTATTTATAACTGTACTCTTTTTCTTAACGCTAGTGGGTATTTTATTTGTAGATGGCGTTGATTTTATGTAAATTTCTTTCGTTGATTTATTGCTAAGATCTGAAAAACACAAAAATTAAGCATAAAACAAACCATTTTGTTTATTATTATTTATGTTGCAGACGTCTGAGTCTGCATCCGTATATTTTTAAATATCTAATTCCGCATCCGTGATCCGATACAATCCATACCAACCGTCCAACCGTCCAACCAGGACGCTATGATGGCCGTTTTGACTTTTGTCCACTCATCAAGTTTCGTATTAATTCATAACTACGTTGAAGGAGCTGTTGTACGTTGTTGTCAACAGTGACGTGCAGTAAAATTTATGGATGTATAATTTTACGACACAACACGGTATTTGTTTTTCGAAATTCGATTTTTTTTTAAATGAAATCTAATACGATCGTCACTTATAGGATCGCTGTCCAGCAAAACTTCTACCTCCAGCAAACTCGCATCAAAGCTCAATGCAAAACAAAGCAGTTTCGAATTGATGATATATTGAGTAAACATTTTTATTTTCGTTTTATTAAAACTTTTTAATCAGCTACCCCTTGCAATACTAGTTATGAATCTAAAAATTAATATATAATGAATTGAGATTTGACCTCACTATTGTAATCTGTTAAAATGGCCATCATAGCGTACTGTACTGCATACTGTAGTGGTAATTAGCCAATCGATAATTCGGTCTTTTGACTGGGAGCCACGTATTCGTAAAAGTAGGCTCCCAATGCAATTTGAAACATAAAAACAAAGACTAAAACTGAACTTACCCATTAATTGCGTATTTGAATCCGTGTTCTTTAAAGAATCAAAATCATTTTCATAGTTTTGTGAAGACGCCGCAGCAGCAAAATTATCATCGTATTGACCAAAAATATCTTCACTAAACATGTTATCTTGAGGTAAATTCTCCATTTCTTATTTAAAAAACACTATTTCCAATTTAATTTTCTTTTTTTTTTGTTAGGAAAAAGTAACAAACGCGCTGTTCTTTTGTTCTGAGTTTCGGGGTAAAGTAGTAGTAAAATTTTTCGTCCTTCGGGACAGGCTAAGGCATCGAAGCCATACTGCCAAATTTTAGATTTATTTCGCGGTAAATTAAAAAGTTCGAAATTCGAAATGTTGACAGTTTTGTTTTTTAAATTTATTTACGGCAGCTGTGTTGGTCAATATTCTACCAATTTAGCTGAAATAATTCAACATAGGTAAGTAAAACTTTAATAAGTTCAAAAAAAAAAAAGATTTCTCACCCGGTTTGAACGGCTCTTTCAGATCTTCCAGCTCCGCCTACGGACAAAATAAATCTTACGAAATACATAAAATAATTGTCTAGAACTATGAATCATCAAAATGTTCGTTGTATAATGGTCCGCTACTGAACATACGACTAAATAAATGCCGTCATATCAAAATCGGTGCCAAATGCATGAAATAATAATGAGAACAATCTTGGGAACCGTCTTCTTCCATTGATTTTTATTGAATATGATATTCATTTAATCTTTTGGGAAATTACTCCACTAGTTTGTTATAATTATACAAACATCGAACACAAAGCAAAATTCTTCGACCCGACTACTATCAGCTCGAACCAGCGTCTGTGCCCAGTGTGTGGCCATGGTTTGGCACCTATTAAGTAGGTTGATTACAATGTGTTAAATGTAATATGTAGGATGCTAATGGCGTATTACGGTTATGGCGACACTTCACATGGCTACTTGTATTCGCTATTGGGTGTTTGATGTACTTGGAAAAATATTTGACGTACAGACAAACACTGGCAAATACACAAATACAAAAAATGTAAATTATTTGGTACTGCGGCCAAGAAGAACAAATTATGGTAAAAGAAATAAGGAAGCGCAACTAAATAATAAACTTCCTAGAGACATTAAATCACAATCCCTAATAACATTTAAAAAACTTTGAAATATTACGTAACTTCAAATATTGAATGACACAATAACAAATATATAAAAATAACAAATACACGGAAATAAAATTAATATAAAAATCCACCTCCAGTATAAGTAGTCGGCTTAGTCTGTGAGTACATCCATATAAGAATGCTGGTACAACTTGATTATTTTATAGCTGAACTACCGTCCTTGTACGCTTTCTAAAGAAAATAAATTGTAATAGTATGTTACTCTGTGTTCTCATGTAAATGACTTATTTATAATGCTTAGGCTCAACTCACACTGGCGCATCGAAGCGTAATTTTCAATTCATATTCCCGATAAATATTACGAAGTAGCGAATATGCCTAACAACCAAATAACAGTTACATCTTTCATTCATCTAAACAACAATGTTTGGTTAATTACAACACAGTAAAATGTCGAGTTTTTGTAGTTTCTGTTTTCACATATTTTACATTATATTAGTTATTATTTGCGGATTTCACTGTATTAAAAATGTTCTCACCTTTTTTCAATAAATCATATATATATCAATTCGTTTGTTTTTATTATTTCTTTTCATATCGTTTGTTGCGCTCAATTTTTGCGTTGAAAAAATTACTGTGCAGGACTGTCAAAATGTTTTAAAATCAGCTGTGACCTTGCAGCTATGTTTCGCACCGTGTTAATCTTTTGCAGTCATAGTGGCGCCACGGTGCTCGCAACGTTAGCTATTGTGACAAAATTTTAAGATTTACCATTTACCACTCCAATTTGAGAGCTAAATATGGATATAATAGCTTTATCGAGGCGGCATACTACGGTTGATGGTTATTTTTTGCCAAATATACCAAACACGCATTTGCGTGTTTGGTATATTTACAAATAGCCATGTGAAGTGCCACCGTTAGAAATGTGGTCAAAAATCGCGCTGAAATATCCAGGGCGTTCAAGCAAATACTTAAACCAAACTACGCGTATACGATAACAGCCCTATTTATTTTTTTCCTCGCACTAGGGAAACCCTGTGTCACCGGTGCCATGGACACACACATAGACATCCACAAATTACACACCCAAACTCACGAGAGAAATAAATGTAGGCCTTACAAACATTTCTCCCGGCCCGGAAATCGAAACCGGGACCTCTGCGTAGCAGCAACGGTATGGTGACCGTTCGGCCATGGAGGCAGTTTTATTACAACCTTAGTGACGATAACTGGTGCACGGTATTCAGTAATTTAGTCTAGAGACGGTTTCACACTCCTAAGTAACTTTTATTAATAGTAAGGGCGCCTTAAAATAGGCACTTATAGAAGCACAGAAGCGGCACCGCTGTGACGCTCTAGCCGCGCCACTACTCATAGGATACAATATGTAAAAGAGTAGTTGCAGCGCGGTTGTGGTAACGCTTCTATAAGCGTCTAATTTGAAAGCGCCTTAATATCTGATTCAGTCAAGCAAATTACTTACCGGTGAAACGTTGTTAAACTGTTTAGTTTTCTCGGCGGGCTTTTCTTTGTCTTGTTTGTCCTTTTCCTTCTCTTTGTCCGGTGAGGCGCCACGGCGTTTCTTAGGCGCGGGTGACGGCAATGTCGTGTTTTCTTCAGTCTGTTCGTCTATGTATCTGGAAAATGGATAGAATTGAATATAGATTCATTTATTTCACTCGTAGTCCCAATTGGAATGGACCAATTTGGAAAAGGAAGTTTTCTCCAATTGGTTCTAGTATGAGTGAGTTGCTACGGTACTTGTATTTCTTTCAAAGCCTGTACTGTACCATTGCTGGGCTAAAGCCTCAAACAAGTCGTGTGCTTCATGATAAGCTCCACGCCTGTCCATAACAGTTGCAGAGCCACTCAGAGTTTTAAATCGCAACGATCTGAGGAGCACTACCACTGCACCCGTTACTCTGGGACATAAGTTGACAACGCCCATGTGCCTATAATTTCACCAGCACCCTTACCCTTCAAAACCGAAAGGTAGTTATGCTCACATTACTGCTTGGCGGCAGAAATAGGTAAGATGTTACATAATGACAAGACACCCTTAGTAAAACAAAGCTACATGTGATCATACGTCAAAAGTGCAAAAGTTCTGGTCCTGTCAGGCTGAAGGAATTTTTTTTTAATTATTAGGCTTTTTTTTTACAAAAAAAATTTACCTCAAAAGTTTGCTTATCCGCTTTTCTATTGGAATTACATCTATTTCGACCCATCCCAAGCACAGGGTCCTATGTGATTATACAACGAAAACAGGATAAATGCATAATCTCGTTATTCAAAATAAGACCTAGCTCTAGGTGTTTTCAGAACTTTATGTATTATTTCGTTTCTTAAATATAAAATCGAACAACTGTCGACCTGATATCTACAGTAAAGAATAGCACACAAAATGTACAATGTCCTGAGAATAAGCAATCTTGCACATAGGTTTTTGTTCTACAGATGAGTAGATTTGTCAAGTTTTATTGAAATCGGTTAACGGAAAGTGCGCGAAACCAGATTCATCCCCTAGCTTGCCACCCTTAGAGATGGAATATTTTATTCAAATTCAAATGGGACCAATATTAAGGTACCCACCCACTTTCTAACAAAAAAGAATCATCAAAATCGGTTCAGAAATGCCGAGAAACCGCGTAACAATACAAAAAAAAATACAATAAACCTCCTCCTTTTTTTAAGTCTGTTAAAAAATAGAAATGTCATTATTTTTCAAATTCTCGAATTACATTATTATTGAAGGTACAATATATTGTTCGTAACCAATCGCAAGTAAAGTTTCGTACTTGGGAAACTCACTTCGGCAGGTACAATTTTAATGTATGGACTTCATAACTACATAGTTAAAATTCTTAGTAACTATGATTAGCTGTATTGAAATCCAATTTAATAAAAGTAAAATCCAGCTATTAAAAAGATGACTGCTAATAACATGCAACCAAATGAAAAAGTACAGCATAGCAGTAATACGACGTATGAAAACTCACTACTAAATCATCGATTACTTCTTAAGAGAAGAAAATACTCCATTCAACCATTTAACTTTTGACAGCACGAATTCTAATCAGTTGGTGATGTCCTAATCCGTTTCTGATTCGATTTTTTTTATAATTATCGATAAAAAAAATTATTTATGAAGAACTTTTAATAGTGAGTGTGAGCGGGTTCAAAAAAGAAGATATTGTCTAATTGGGATCGTGATGTTGCGTTTTGACAATGTGTACTCAAGAATTGATAATTAATGTTAATGAGGATTCTAGAGACTATTCCCGTTCATATGGAGCAGAATCCGATGATTCATTATAATAAACAATAAGAATTTATTATAATTAGTCATAATGTACTTCATTTCATTATAATTTATTGGACAGGTACCAAAATTTATCAACTTGAATAATCTTCGTTGCATAAGCCGTTGGGTCGATAAATATCGGAGCTAGAGTACTAAAACTAAAATTTTCACTAAAATTAAAAAACAAAAGAGTTCAGGAAGTATTGCACTTTTATGTCTATGGTTGTATACGTCGCCTTACTTTCTCAAACTTGTATCTTAAAGCCTTAAAGGAAAGGACCTGCCCTAAATACAGAATGAACGTGCATATCCAAACAAAAATTGAACGCTACAAATGGCAGATTTCTTTAGAGTTGTAGCATAATCTATCGATAAGTCATTATCGACATGCATATGTATGGCTTAAATGTTGAAACTGATAAAATAGTAATTTTTAGTAGTTCAAAGTGAAACGAATAAATGAAGATGGTCTTTGATCCAATGGTTATATTCGGCAGTCCTATGATTTCCAACCAATCTTTTTTCATTTGTAGGCAAACTTGAAATAGTATAATAATAATAAAATAATAAAAACCTAGTAGTGCATTATTTTAATAACAGAATATCGATAATATGTACGCTTCCAAGATCAACTCTATCTCAAAATAATCGTTACCAAGAATAACCAAAATATACAAACAAACAGGCAATCTGAAAAATCCAAAGCACCATTTGGCAAGATTTATGATTAAACTATTTAAATATGTCTAATTACATGTGATTTGGGCTGTTGTGTGATATATAAACAGGAAAATAATACGTGTCTGTACAATGTTATATTCAGTCGATTTTCGCTTTTTCTAAAGCCATATCCCGTAATGCTGCAGCGACGAATTTTTATTAATACTTAATTGTTCTCACTGTCAATGTTTTTGTCCATTTTATTACAATTCATGCGAATAATTCAAAAAACACTTGGAAAAACATTTGTTTTGACATTTGATGTACTTCCCTTTGACAACCGTATCATGTACCTCATGTACTGCGAAATGCACAGTTGGTATTTAAGATGACGTTACGTATTTGCGATTCCCGTGTTTGACACAGACCAATGTAATGCTATCTCTTTTGACTTAAGACGGCACGCTATCCTTAAACAAAGACAATAACATGTTTATGTTTTCACCGTCGAAAAACGTCGAAACGTCAAAATGAAAAAAAAATCATATACATACAACGTCTGATTTATATATGTCAACATAACATGTCCTTTGGTTTCCATAGTCTAAGCTTAAAGCACATAGTTACTGAAGTGAAAAAATTGGATTGTGCATACAAATTTTGTACGCATATACATATATTACACAAAATATTATAAAAAATAATAATTTTAATTGTAGTACCAAATTAAAGAGATGTATAATAATAATATGTACAGGCAATAATTTCATTATTCACACTAAGTTTGAGAATTTATATATCTTATTTCGTTTAGGAACTATAAAATCATACAATGGTCGATCTGACATCCACAGCGAAGAAGAATGAACGAAATGTACTATTGTCCTGAGAACAAGTAGTCACGTACGTAGTTCTCGTAGAGTGGAAGTGGTTCTACAAAAAGGTCATTTCCTACAGGCCTGCCGCTTAATTGACTCGGTTCCTGAGGTAACTATGCGGTGCGGGAGGAGTGACAGTTTACATAACAGTTACACTGCACACGGGATAATTTCATCAAGATTTTTCTGACGATATTCTATATTGCTGGGGCTGCCCCGACACTGCCTCAGGGATGTTGGCGGAGGCTAGGATTGATAGTTTTCAGGCAGTCGTGCGCAAGAGATTGACATCCCTGTTGCCCAGAGTGAGAGGCAGCACCAACAGTCTTCTTAAGGTGGTAGCAGAGGATGGACAACCCAATCCTTAAGTATTCGATGTCCATCCTTATTAATGAAAATGAACATTTTTCTTTCTACTAACATAGTTGTAAATAACTACTAACACCATATGGACATGTAACTATTACTTATTGTCTGAAATAAAATTCTTTCAATAACAAGTTGATTGATAACGGTGCCAAATGGCTTGTCTATTCATTTCAATTAACAATTACATTTTTTATCGTTTCACATAACAATTGAATAATTTGGTAGGAACTTTTTTCAATTAACTTGATCGTATTTTTAACAAAAATACTTCATAATGACACTCACCTCTTGGGCCGTATCTTCCTGCCGCTTCTGCTGACGATCTCCTCATCTTTCTTTTCTTCATCTTCATCTCTCTTGTCTTCGTCTTTCTTGGCCTTGCCGCGCGGCGTCTTGGGCGTTTTCGGGGGCTCCTTCTTAGGCTCCGCCTTGGATTTGCGGCCTTTTGGTGGTTGCTAAAAAAGAAACACAAATTAAAGATTGATTAAAATTATAAACAGTATTTTTTATACAATACCTAGGTATTGTTAACCAGACGCGCGTCTGGTGGTAAGCATAACAATTACATAATAATAAGCATAAATATAAATAATAAGCATAGCAGTTACAGTGCCACTCAGAGCTTTTAATTGCAAAGATGTTAGGGGCACTGCCACTATGCCCGTCACCCTGAAACATAAGTTGACAAGTCCCATATGCCTGTAATTTCAACAGCATCCTTACCCTTCCAAACCGGAACGCAGTAATGCTCACTAGGTAAGGCAGTACTGGATGAACTCTTTCACAAGGAGCTCTACTGCATTAAATGGGGAAATCCGAAACTATGGGAGATACTCGGAAACTGCCTTAGGAACCATTAAGTCTTTTGTGAAAACAATTTTGGCTTACTCGATTTTTTGGCCGGGTCATAAAATAATGATCTTTGACCAACTTCTACTGTCCCGATTTTTTAGTATATCGTCGTATTTAGAATATCGTCGGAAAAATCTTGTTCAAATTATCCCGTGTACAGCGCGACGTAACTGTTCCGTGAACTGTCAATCGTCCCGCACCCCATTGTTACCTCAGGAATCGAGTCAGTTAAGCGGTAGGCCTGTAGGAAATGACCTTTTTGCAGAACTACTTCCACTGCACTCTGGTCAACTACACAACAATTGACGGGTGTCGTCAATTGTTTCACTTCAAATAAACCAGTTTAACATGAGCTTGGACGTGGAAATGGACGAAAATTGAAAAATTACATATATAATATTTCATTACCGATGAAATGTGATTCCGTTTGTTTTGTAATTAGATGTTTTGCTGTTTTCACGTCACCGAATGGAACAGCCCCCTTTGGTAGAGATATTCATATATCTTTATTACAATAAATACGGAATATTTTTGGAATATATGGAGACGTACATACATGTCAGTTGTTGGCGCTGTACTATTTCAGTTTTCTAATTTGGTTTCAGCGCAAACGAGAGTTCATATTTAAAAGTAATATAAGGCCCATTTGCCTGATGAGTGACCAGGATGGCTGGCCCCTATTTCGTCTCAATTTCTGGTTATATACTCGGTGACTAAGACATGCTAATTTCTTACAAAAAGTGGCAATACCTTTCCTTCATCAATAACCAGAGCTCCAGCTTCGTCAGAATCTTCCACAGCTGTGTCGTTTTGCGTAGCATTACTGGCTGTCGTCTGTAAAGGGGATTATCATCATCAACGTCAAGTCCATTTTACGTCCCACTGCTAAGCAAAGGTCTCATCTCAGAAGAGGATGTGAGGCCAGATACTGCCAAGCTGGTTGAGGACTTAGGACCAGTGCAAACCGGTGGATGGGAAGGCAAAGGATATCAAATTTATTAATGTATATTTTATGCTATTACAATTGTCATAAGGTATAAGTTGCAATGCTCTGAGACCGACCTCGGAGCATCGCGGTGCATTTATCTCTTATGTGCATAGATAATATCTCGCACCCCTCATGAAAGAATGGCATAAGTGCAGTTACGTCAAATATGTTTATTACTCCATTAGATATAGAAAAATATAACCCACATCCTCTCCAATTCTTGTAACTCGATCTACAATATTAGTCGCTAGATTTACATGAATTATAATGGACGAAAATTGAAAAATTACATATTTAATTACCGATGAAATGTGATTCCATTTGTTTTGTAATTAGATGTTTTGCTGTTTTTCCCACACCACCGAATGGCACAGGGCCCCCATAGTTAGAGATATTATCATTACAATAAATACCGAATAATGTACTATTTAAACTTTCTAATGTGTAATTTCAGTGCAAACGAGAGATAATATTTAAAGTGATATAAGGCCCAATTGCCTGATTAATTGCCAGGGATTATTTCGTCGATGGTTGATATAGACCACTTTAGAAATCAACGAAATAGAACAATAAGGAAAGATGTAAATACTTACATCAGTAACAGTATCATCAGCATTGGTGGTGTCCATATTGTCATCCATAGATTCATTTATGCCTGTATCGTTGGCCGACTCGTCCGCGCCTTCGGCTGGTACCGCCTGTCATGTAGGAATATTATAAACTAAGTTAAAAAAATACTACAAAGGTTTATCTTTAGCAAAATATTTTTTCTTTTTATATCAGGTACCAAGTGACGGAATGAACTAAACTTGCGTCTAATGGTAAGCGACACGCCTGTCCATAACAGTTGCAGTGCCACTCAGAGCTTTAAATCGCAAAGATCTGACGGGCATTGCCACTGCGCCCGTCACTCTGAGACATAGGTTGGTATGTCTCGTGTGCCAACAATTTCACCAGCACCCTTACCCTTCAAACCCGGAACGCAGTAATGCTGACATTACTGCTTGGCGGCAGAAATAGGTACGATGGCAGTACTTCCCTTGACGAACTCTTTCACAAGGACCTCTACTGCTACTGATAAAATTAGCATTGTTTTAACAATAAAAAACCGAAATGCCTCATTATGAAAAATATGAATATTAAAAACTGAAATGCCTCATTATGAAAAATATGAATATTAAAAACTGAAATGCCTCATTATGAATATAAAATTTACTGATGCTATTTTTGTTTTTCGATATTCATATTTAACGACCTTTGTGGCCCAACGGTTCGCACTGTGGGCACTGGATGAGGAAGTCCCGGGTTCGATTCCCGGTAGGACCAATTTGGGAAATGAAATTTTTCAAATTGGTTCTGGACTGGGTGTTCTAGGAAATTCTGTAAGCTCTGGTACCAAAATAGCACAGGGAAAAAAATCCCTAGTTTGAGACCAGGCAATTGGTGTGGTTGACTGGTATATTATTCATTATCCATATTACGGTACCGGCACGCTATGATGGCCGTTTTGACTTTTGTCCGCTCATCAGTTTCGTATTAATTCATAACTACGTTGAAGGAGCTAATTCTTGCACATTGTTGTCAATAGTGACGTGCAGTAAAATTTATGAAATGTATAATTTTACGACACAACTCGGCATTTCTTTTTCGAAATTTTTTAAAATGAAATTTACGTCAGTTATAGGATCGCTGGCCAGCACAACTTCTACGTTCAGCAAATTCGCGTCAAAGCTCAATGCAAAACAAAGCAGTTTCGAATTGACGACATGTTATAAACGTTTTTATTTTCGTTTTATTAAAACTTTTCAATCAGCTACCCCTTGCAATACCAATTATAAATCTAAAAACTTATAGAAGCGACTCGCATTTAATTATTTTTTTCGATAATGAATTGAGATTTGACTTAACTATTGTATTGACCGGTCAAAACGGCCACCACAGCGTGCCGTGTGCGTGGTAGTTTTACAGTAATAATACGATTGCGTACTTAACAGATAAAAACTTAATACATAATATTCCCTTTGGACCAAAAATCTAAAATATATAATAAACTGCGAACATGCCCGAAGCACTGCAGAAGCGAGGCAGTATCATGAGAATTTCGAAGACCTCATTGTACTGAACTCGCAATGTGTTGTAAGTGCGTTTTGTATAACAACACGAAAGCACGTATAAAAATTTTGACAGGTTTAAAGAGAGTTATTTTCAATGTTCAATACAACGAAAAAACCTACATGCAAGCATGTTGTTATTGGTTAAAAAGAAAAAAAAAAGCTTATTTTATTCATTGTGTAATGGTTGTGTCAAATTTAATTTATTTACAGCCCAATAGTGTAATTTCTATTTTTTTTTTTTTCGGAATATTGGATATGATACGATTATATAGGAACAAGGCGTAATGCTTAGAGACACTACAGAAGCGCGGCAACCTAATAATGCACGATTTGCTAAAGTGTTTCCTACCTCAGGATCACCCCCGATAACTTGCTCCAATGGGACATTATTGGCAAAGTCATGTTCAATCTGCTTCACGCCATCGTTGAAGTCGCGCCGCTTCACCGTCTTGGTCAGAAACTTGTCTTTGTTTTCCGCGTAGTCGAAGATCATGTTCGGGGGGAGGTTCGCACTAAAATTACACAATTATCGGTATGTTTTTACATTCAATTGAATCAACTTATAAAACTAAAAATATTCAGTTAACCCTAATGTAAAATTGTTTAAACTAAACAAGATTCATATTGTGATTTTAAAGTTATTGAAGAGGTGGTCAAGATGTTTGACCACCATGAAATTCAATTATTTTTGTGAAATGACTCCATGTTATAATTACTAATACAAAGATCGAACACTTACAAAAAAAAATCCTTCGAACTGGCTAGATTTGAACCAACGTCTTCCAGCAAACCGCGCCAGACGCTAAGTGTCGTTTCCAGAACTCTACTCAATGTTCAAGTCAGGATTTGAGTATGATTCAAAGCACTAGAAATCATACTCAAGTACTTGCCATTAGGGTCGTATTTCCAGTGCTTGACATCATACTCAAGATCTGACTTGAGCTTTGAGTAGAGTTCTGGAATACGATCCTTAATCAACTAAGCCACGGAACGAACTAGCGGACCTTACGAATTTTTATATGTGCTTGTTTTTTATTTTCGACGACTTTTTTTCTGTAAGAAACCTATTTCTTCACACAGTCAGGAAGATTCATATTCTTGCCAATTAAGACAAATGGATATGAATTAAAATTTTCACAGTAAAACTATGGTTCAATGTTATCATTTATCATGCATGTTGAAGTATAAATGACCAACCATCTGTTGTCTGTCTGTACTAGTTACAAATTCTGGTAACAGGCAGCAGCAGCAGTGTCTCCCAGTATTATATATATTGGTAGAAAAGGAAAGAGCTGTGCATTCTTACTGCCACTCTTAACTGATCATGGTCCATTATAATAAACACCCTTTCAATGTAGGTATCATGGACATCCCTCTATGGACGAAACCGCCGGTTGGGCAGAACAAAAGTAGGCACTATGGAAACACCAGAAAATTTTAATAATTTAAAAATGTATATTATTATTTATTTGTAATGCTTGTGTCAAGTAGAATAGATAAATTACATTTTTTATTCTTGTAATTTTTCGTCTACGGCCGATAATTATCAAAAAAATTGGCGGGAATAAACTTTATTTACTAGGAGCTCGGCACAGAAAAATATCGATTAATTTTAAAATTTTGCTAAAAGACAATATTAATGCTTGTTTCGAGCGTATTAGACCGTAATAAACACTTTTTACTCTTATAATTTTTCGTCTACGGCCGATAATTATCGAAAAATTTGGCGGAATTTCACTTACTGCGAGGCCTAGCCTTAGAAAAAATCGTTTTATTAGTTTTGTTATACAATGAATTTGATTGCTTTTGTTGATTTGGTTCCATCCCCTCCTGTGTGTTTATGAGACTAGTGTATGAAAAAGCAGCACGAGCCAAGCGAGCGAAGCGAGTGTGTCGCGGCAGTAGCGCGCGAGTTCCCGAAAAATTTCTTTGTGTGTTTTGTTCTGTTTTTCTGTGAGTTCGAGCTTTGTGTTAATAATTATAACAAAACTAGTGTGGAGTTATTTCTTAAAAAAAATCTCCATAATACCAAATGTATTGAAAATGTTGAAAATCAATTAATCTGAAAACCTCTTGTTTTCTTTGAAAAACAATAGACATTATTATTCAATAATTTTATACTTACGTTTCTCCGGTTCCATAGAAATACACAAAGTATTTCTTCCCATTCATTCTTTGTACCTGAAAAATAATATTTTTGTTATTACAAGTTAATAAAGGAGCCTACAAATATATTACATTCAATACGGTGACACTATGATCTGTTCGTTCCATATTAAAACTGTAATTTATTTGTCCACTCCATTGCATTGCCACTGATATATTTCACAATTGATTTATTTCTAATTCTTTAGTTTTTATTCAGGGATCCAAACAGGCTTGTCATGACAATAAACTAACTAGACACGAAACATAAATATATGGAAATGCCCATTTGCAGAGGGTACTATCCCAGTCTAGCATGACAATATTTTGATAATAAGGAAATGACGTAAAGTTACAACTACCAATTTCTGTTGTAGTATATGCTTGCTTAACAAATTAAGGTTTACACCAAAATTAACACAATTATATATTTACAGTAAATAAATGTTATTAATAATAAACTCTTTATCGTGATGGCGGACATAAATGGTATAGCATTCAGAACTAACTTCAAGTGACATTGATACTATAGTTTTTTGACGGTCAATGCATAGTAAATAATGATGCACAATAAACCATCACAGTGCAGCTTGCACTATGGATGCCGGACGAGTAGGTTCTGTGTTTGATTCCTGGTAAGACCAATACTTTCTAAATTTGTTCTGGTGTTCTAATTTCCAAGCAGTGCCCCAGAGTAAATTAATTTGCTCTGTTATTCATGAGGGATTTCCCTTGTTTGAGACCAATTTTTTTTTTATATAACACTAAGTGACGGGGACAAACTAGTCACGGGCCTTTAAATTGCAAAGATCTGAGGTGCATTGCCACTGCGCGCAACACCCAGAGACATAAGCTGACAAGTCTCATGTGCCTGTAATGTCACCAGCACCCTTACCCTTACAATTCGAGCTGTCAAAAGTTAAATAAATGATTGGACGGAGTATAGATTAGTTGTCAGATACATTTTTAATATATATACTTGTTGTTTTGAATAAAATGTATGATCAACAATTTTAAAAAATAAATTTTGTTTATATTAAATTCGTCGCGATTTACCTTGAAAAGGTCCTTGACATAAGTCTTGACATTAATTGACTGACAGCAAAATGAACATACATTAAACAATTTTTAATGTAAAAATGAAGTCAAAACGTGTCATTTAGTGATTTTTATCAATAATAAGTATGAAATACTCGACCTAGGATAAAGTATAAGCGTCCCTATCTTATGCTTCCCGCGCAAAACGCTTTTAGAATAACATAGAAATGTTCCATTTTTTTCTCGTAAGACTACATAAGAGTCTGTATTGTAGTGATAATTTGCACTTACCCTTGCCGGCCATGCTGGATACCCCTTCACTTTCGCGAATATAAAATCCCCGGCTTTGTATTCTTTGACTTTTTTACCCATTTTCGATTATCAACGCCGCTCGTTAGGAGTCAAAATATCGAAGCTGTTTTCACAGTTAAATTGACGTCGCAAGGTCTGAAAATGTGAAAGATATTAGCAAATGTTTATGCGCAGTAATTAACAACACTGTTATGAATAGATATGCGCTTTTGTTTCAGAAACACAAAAGGACGCCAAGATGTAGAAATAACCTTAAAAATTTCTTACCGCGGTAGCAAATGACGGAAAGGAGATAAACATGGCGGTGAGCTGTGTTGCCATTTTTCATATATTTTTTTTGATACTTCACTATATTTCGCAGAATGCGTCAACCATTTTGAAAATAAATTATAATTGTTTTTCAGAAAAAATAAATATTTTTTCCAATTTTTCCTGTGCTATTCCACATTTGGCAGTTGACGCCTGTCAATGATTGAAGTTGGTGAGAACTTCCTTTAATTTTGCCATCCTCTACTAAGGTGAGAACGAAAACGATGGTGCCACTGTAAAGATTTTTTTACTATAAGATACTCTTCTTTCCCTGTTGTCCAACTATTATAAATCTCGATTTTCTCTAACTTGCTTTTAGCTATACAATTTTATTTTAAAGTTCACGCTTAAAAAACTTCAACAGATATTTTTATATGAAAAATATGATACGGGAATTCTAATCATATATATAACTTTTCCAATTTTTCAAAAAAATTTTAGATTGAATTTCCAGTTCTTAAAATTTTCGGAAAATTAGATACGTAAAAATAAAATTCGAACAGTTGTAAGTGCGCGTTAACAAAGTGTACTTTAGGTTAGTTTGTTGTTTTTAGCCAGAAGGCAACTCCGCGCTGGCAGATCACATACAGGCAATAGGCATGTTACAATAGGTGTGTTATACATCTAGTATCAGTTAGCGCCACTTAAGTGACAGCTATTGTTTTCAAGACGTAATTGTTTAAATGTATTGATAATATTATCATTATACTGAAACAAGTAGTGATATTTATTTCGGAAAATTCAATGGTGTTTGTTATATTGACATTGCCAATTAATGCTGCTGCTAAGCTTTATGTAGGTACGCTTAAATAAAAGTAGATAGCATAAAGGAAAGACATATTTAATGTAAGCCAATGATCTTAAAAGATCATTGATATAGGCCTGCCTATAACCATTGATATCGTAATTATTATATTTTAATTAACCGATATCCGCTATCCAGTGAGCACATAAAAAGATTTGTCATTCATATTATACTTTATTATGAGCTTAGCTCATTATATCTCAAGTGAATGATCAATACTACTTGCTATTGCAGTATAGTTCAATTAAGTGCCACATGTAATAACAATCTTTATAAGCAAATAATTTGTGTTTGTCGATCATTTCACATTATATTACAATGAAGGTGTTTAAATTATGAAAATTAAAAACAGTGTATCTAGATCAAACAAACCAGCATACATGCATGATGTATCGTTGATGGTTACTGAAGTGATCAAACTAATATGGAAGAAATAATATCAATGCCATTTGAAAGGTTTTTCTTAATTTGTTAGGCCAGGCGCCATCTGTACTCTGTCTGTTTTGAAGAAGGAATAATATGACGTTTGTTGGGTTGCCAGGTTTTGTAAAATTTTGTATAGTCCAATTATATTATCGATAGATTGTAAATGCGAAATATGTTTGAATTGTGAATGTTATGACGTTCTAATGATTAGTAATAGTGTTATTGTATTCTTTATTCCTAATTTGACAGATGGTTTTCATTAGTATCGAAATCAATTATTAGTTCATCAATCAATAATCAAATATTAAGTGACATGACGAACAAATCGTGCGCCTGGTGGTAAGCAACACGCCTGTCCATAACAGTTGCAGTGCCATTTACAGCTTTAAATCGCCAAGATCTGAGTGTCGGGGGCACTGCCACTATCCCCGACACCCTGAGACAAGTTGACAAGTCCCATGTGCCTGTAATTTCACCAGCACCCTTACCCTTCCAAACCAGAACGCAGTAACGCTCACATTACCGCTTGGCGGGAGAAATAGGTAAAGTGGCAGTACTTCCCTGGTACTGGACTGGACCACTGGACCAACTCTTTCACAAGGAGTTCTACTGCTGAAAGAAATAATTCTGATTTGATTGTGTATATTCAATTCAAACGAGAAACTTGAAAATATGTTCCCATTTGTATTTTTTAAACACATACTGATAAATTGAGTGTATCAGTTTTCAAAAATTATAATTACAAATTAACCTGTGTGCCACATTTGGACAAATTCGGCTACCTATTTCATAAGCGTAACCAACATTCAGTCGATAGGCGATATAATATTTATCGACTGCAGTCACTAGCTCATTGCAAGCAGGCAACACTTTTACGTAATGAACTGTCATAGATTCGCTCTGGGCCTTTTGGAGGGAAAAGTGTCGTTTTTATTTTGACTTTCAATTATTTTGTGAAATCTAGTTTAAAGTGGAATAGGATAGTGCTATTGTGCCTTAATCGAAGATTAAAACGCGAAATTATACGAATCTCGAACTAAAATACCCGTATAGGCCCGTTCTAAGGAATCCCGAGTCAATCCAAGCACGCCGCGCGCCGCCTCAAATTGCCTATCCTCTTTGTGGTGGCCATGTTTACAGAAATATAATTAAACGTTTATGTTTTCGGCTGAAGGTCTTTGTTTCCATGGCCAGCAATAAATTAATAAAAAAAAAGAACTGTCATAAAGATGGCGGGTTTATGGGTTCATTTTTTACTTTACACGAATTAATTTTTGGTTTATGTATGTTTAATACGTTGTGCGTTTTTTGATTATTTGTTACCATTAAGCTGATAGCTCTGAAGCCAATGCTTTATAAATAAATAAAAATGAACTGTCATTTTACTTCATCTACAAAAAAAAGGTATTAGTAATACGTAAAATACCTTAGACTATGGAAACTTTTTTCCATCCTGTAAAAAACACTAATTACTAAAATAGTAAAAAGACTAGTATTGCTTTACGGAATTAAAACTTTCTTGTAACGTCTTTGAAATAAAAAGAGTCGCGAATGGAAAAAAATAATATTATTTTACGAGTATATTATGTCAATACATACAACATACTTGAAATAATAGCTCTGCGCCATTGATCTTAAACACTTTTGGACCGATGGTCTTAATTATTTCAGTAGTGCCTGTCATGTTATGAAAAATTTGGCAGATTTAACGATTTTGTAACAACACTATAAATCTTTCTCTACCCTACCGCAATCACTTGTACAATATTTTTTCATATAGCAATCCAGTTACTATGAGTGGTCGTGTCAGACGGATGCTTCTTGCGAACGTTTTCGCGAAAATTAATTGATTTCTCATAATTAAATTACTGTGAATCATAGTGTTAGCTATGCAAGTGTGATGTGAGCCATGAGAATAATATTTGTGCAAACAATAACTCGAGTGACACCTCAAAAAGGGGTGTATTAGGAAAACAAAAATGGCTTCAGGCGATACGGATCGAATAGAAGTTATGGATATTTCTGTCGCTAAAAAGGCCGAAAATGCGAACGCTGCAACTGGTACGGAGGACGATGGTAGTACATTTCTAAATTTAATAATGAAACATAGCATTGCATTGTTTATAATTGCATTTATTACAATATTCACTGTCAACCTAATTCCAATCTGTAATTCATGTAATTTCTTCCTTTGCAGATCGTGATAAGACTTCAATTGCCGAAAAAAATGTTCCATACGACGTAAGTAACTTATTTCTATTATATTCGTCTAGTTCCATTCATGTTTTCGGACTAGTGTGTCACTCATTGTCACTTTCTCTCAAGTTTCTTGTAAATCCTCGATACACTAATTATTATGCAGTATTTACCCTTAATTGAGCTTTAAGAAACTTCTAGATAACATACAGACTGTATTTACTGTGTGCTTTGTTTATTATTACACATAATGTGTAGTAATTAACTAGTAGATTGTTTGTAATGGGTTAAATACTTAACTCTAAAAACACTATTTGTCTTTACTGGAAAACAATAAAATACAATTTACAATAAAAACAAGCGTGTGTAAGTGAGTTACCACTTTACATCAAGTGGAACATCTGTTTGCTAGTTTGAATGTTGTAAAAAAAACAATACAAAAATATTTAATTGGAAAGCTGATGGATGCAGGCAGCGCAGGACCAATCATCGTGGAGATTGTTGGGGGAGGCCTATGCCTAACAGTGGGCGTTGTATGGCTGAAAATGGGGCGTTGTATGGCTGAAAATGATGATGATGATGATTGGAAAAAACAATATATAACAAAAATAATACCTATTTTTATTTTGCACAATGGGTCAGATGAATAATGCCTTTAATCTAGTAGAGAGATGGGTGACCATAATTTTAATTTATTATTTGTAAGAATTTAAAAAGTTTCAAAACGAGTAACAGAAAAAAAAGCACTAAATTACTAAAACTATTAAAGCACTGCATTTTTTGGTTCAATTTTACATGCACTGAAATGCCTGTAATGTTTATCTGATTCTGTCCCTGATTTGAACTACTTGTAATATTTTGTTTGTTTGACACCTCTCTGTTTCATGAATTTTTTCATGAAATTGTATTGATTGTTTAAACACATCTCTTATTCTTTCTTTTTTGAAGAATATAATACAAGGAGTAAAAGATAAACTACAAAGTTGCAAACTGTAGTTTTAGTTCTAACATTTTTTTTGAAACATACATTATAGCTTATTGCTATTTTAATTTTTTCTTAAAAAATATTTTTTAGACTGAGCAGGTTGCAATTGTCCTTGACACCTATTCTTCCCTGAAGTACATAGTCTTCTTGACAATATTAAAATAAATTAGTATACTGCCAGCCAAGGTTTACAGACAATGACTGTATGTGTTTTAGTATACATGTGCAAAATTGAACACAAAATGGTAGGCAGATATGATAGTTTGTAAAAAAAAATTCTTTGACCGATATCCAAACATCATGGTACATAACACTGCAATTCTACCTTATCGCTGTGCATTTTGTATTCAAGTAGGATGTGCTGACATGCCTACAATGGTTACGCCTGTCAGTTTCAACATTGAGCAGCGAAAC